TACGGTTTGTATAATAGTAAGGCTAATCGGCAGTTAGATGCCATTATTGCCTAAAAAATTAAAAAAAGAAAAGAAAGAAAAAAGGGTAATTAATACAGCTTTGAAAAGGAGGAGGGGAGTGTTTCTATTTGCATCAAAGTTACTATTGAATAACAAATATAAAAGATACTTTCAAGTAAAAGTGTTTTTTTTTTCTTCATTTCTTTGAAACATAAATAATTTTCTTTTTATATTAAATAAATAAATAAATTTATTTAAATAACAATTGAAAAAAATTACTAAAAACTATTAAGGTTCTTCTTCTTCTTCAAACTACTTTCTTGCTGTTTAAGTCCATCAAGTCTCATCCAAAAAAAATAAAAAAAAAAAAATAAAACATTTTTTTTTTTTCACCATACAAAAAAAATTCATTCACAAATTCAAAATGAACAACTCTTTTCAATTCCTTTATTCTATATATATATTTTTTTTAAAATGTATAAATATATATATATATATATATATATATATATAAATAACTTTGTTGTTTATTATTATTATTAATTTTTTTCTCATCTGACATCAAATCAAACCCTTTTATTTTTTATTTTTGTTGCCCCCCCCCTTCTTTCATACACCCACCACCACCACCAAACTTTCTCTCGTTTTTTTTTTGCCCAGATCAAGTAATTCCGAGTTTATTTTAACAAAAACACAAAAAAAATAAAAAAAATTTTATTTATTTAATTTATTTATTTATTTATTTATTTAATTTATTTATTTATTTAATTTATTTATTTAATTTATTTATTTATTTAATTTATTTAATTTAATTTAATTTAATTTAATTTAATTTAATTTAATTTTTTTTTATTTTTTATTTGTTAACTCCTTCACACACAAACACCATTTTTTTATGTATTCCGATAACGATTCCTGCACAGCCTTGCCTTTTTTTTTATTTATTTATTAAATTATTATTTTTTTTTTTTTTTTTTTTTTTTTTGCTTCTCTCATAAATTTGTTTGATATAAAAAAAAAATTGGCAATTTACATTCTTTCATTTGCTCTAACAAAAAAACTTATTCATTCATTTATTCATTCATTCATTTACTTGTTAGTCCAAATTTCCTTCCGTAATCTTTGTAGATTTACTTTGATTATTATCTAATGAAAAAATCCCAGTTTAACTATACTCCATTCCCCTTCCTCTCTTTTATTCTGTCCAAACCCAATTTATTTTATTTTTATTTTTTTTTCTTTATTCTTCTTTTTCGCTTAAATCTTTTAGCAATTAGCAAAGGAGCTTTTTTTTTTTTGGTCATCAAATAAGCCACTCATTTTGTAATATTTGTGGTGGCCATATAACTAGACCAACATTTTTTTTTTTTTTTTCAAAAACACTTTTGAATATACAATTTTTAATCCATTCTAATTATTGTTTCCTTTTTTTTTTTAAAGAAAAATAACAAAAAAAAAAAAAAAAACAAATAATCCAACGGAGTTTGATATATAAGATAATTTTTTTTTTTTTAATCACTTTTTATGGTTGCTTTTTAGGTAACTTTGTTGGGTATGTTTGAAGCGGCAGTCACAGCAGCAGCAGTAGGCAGCAGTAGGCAGCAGCAGCAAAATAGCAAAACAAAAAACAACAACAACAACAACAACAAGGCAAAAAAAAGTCTGACTTAAATCTATATTAGCTAAATCTTATGTCATTATTAATAATCATGTTTTAAAAAAATTTTTTTTTTTTTTAAATTTTAAATTTTAAATTTTATTTTTATATTTTTGTCATCCATAAAAAAAAAATAAAAATTGACATATCTTTTCACATTATTTATTTAAAGAAATCATTTCAAAAATCAATACTGATTGTTTTCACTTTTTTTTTTTTTTTATATTTAAATTAAGAATAGTCAATTTTTTTTTTCTCTTTATCTTGATCCAAAAACGAAAAAAAAACACTGTAGCAAATATATATATATATTCATATACATATATATATATAATACCTTTCCCCGTAAAAACCTTCATCATTAAAAATAATAACCTTAAAAACACCTCCATCGTTTCTCACATTGCTCTTTTTAAACATTCTGACCAAGGGGGAACATATCATTATACCCTCCAGATGTGTTGCTGGTGCTACTTAAAAACATGCTCCCACTGCCACTTCCAAACCCAGTTCCACTACCACTCCCACTCATTATCAATCCATTAATATCTCCAGAGGCATTTCCTGCATTTGCTCCATCATATGTCTCATACTCCATGTCATCTGTCTGGAACAATGGTGAAAGTGATCCCTCATATCCTGTAAATGCATTAAATGCTTGATTCGAATTATTTGCAGCTGCTGCTTCAATCAATTGCTGTTGCTGTTGTTGTTGCTGTTGCTGTTGCTGTTGCTGTTGTTGCTGCTGCTGCTGTTGTTGTTGTTGTTGAAATCCATTATTATTCCCCTGTTTAAACGTATACATAGATGTTGCTGTTGATGAAGACGATCCAAGCCCAGGAATCAGCCCTGCAGAGGCCGCCCCACCACCCATTACAACATCCGCATCAAACGGAAATGAAAACACATCAGTAGGCTGTAATGTTTGAGGCTCCGCAACCATAATATCCAATTGTTCCGGAGTCACAGGGGTCGACAAAGTTGAAGAAGAAGACAAGTTATCAGTAGCACCGCTATTATTCAAACTACCGCCAGCACTCAAAGTGGCCGCAGATGTAGCATACCTGTTCTTACGCAGAGCTAATTGCTGCTGCTGCTGCTGCTGCTGCTGTTGTTGTTGCTGCTGCTGTTGTTGCTTGTCACCTAAAATTGTAGCAAGATCCACATCCTTCGGTGGCCGGTTGACAGTCAAAATAGGATATAATGGTAGTCCAGCCGCAGGGCTATCTGGGCCCGGCGACAGTTCGAAATTTCCTGGAGATGAGTATTGTTGTTGCTGCTGAACCTGTTGTTGTTGTTGTTGCTGCTGCTGCTGCTGCTGTTGTTGCTGTTGAGCTTGCTGGGCAAGTTTCGGCAAATCTGTAGATGAATCAATTGTGGTAGCACCCAACCGGGTTGCCAATAATGATGTTGTAGGCGAGCTGCCACCGCAGCCTGCATTTTCTACCAAGTCCAAAAGTCCAGCTCGGCCCGACCCGGAACCCTGGAGCAATTCATAGTCATCATTAGGTGACAAAAGCGTCCAATCATCCATTGGCTCTGCCTTGACAACGACCTCGCCGACCTTGGAGTATGCACGATGAGTATTGCGAGATGGAGCTCTCAAAGGCTCCAAAATTTCATTATCAAGTTTATTGTTTGAGGAAGAAGAATTTCGACTGCCTCCTCTTTTCGACTGGAGTGAGCGACGGTTGCTATTAACGGAGGTGTTGCCGACCCCGGCCGAAGAAGAAAGTGACGACGCATACGAAAATTGAAGCGGGGGGTCTACATCCGACACGTACCCATCAGTATTAGCTGCCGTTACAAATCCAGGGAGGCTCACATAGCTTCCACTAAATCCAAGGTCTTGAGCAAGAGAAGCCGAAGAACTCGAAAGTAGATTGTTATTGTTGATGGCAGAAAACTGGTCATTATTGTTTGTATTAATCGGAACGGAAGCGGAACTGACTGAGGGCCGGAAAGCAGGAGATGTGGCAAACAAAGGCAACGTGTCGAGTGAGTTAAGCAAATCGCCAGAGGCCACAGTGCCTGACCCATCAAGAACAGAGGGCGCAGCTGTAGTCAAAGCCGATGATGAGTTGGTGGCTGCTGCTGCTGCCGCTGCTGCTGCTGCCACAGTAGCCGAACTATACATTTGTTGTTGTTGTTGTTGTTGTTGCTGCTGCTGCTGCTGTTGAGAAGCACCTTGACCTATACTATTTTGTTGACCCATAAAGTTAAAAAATAAAGGGACATCTTTAGTTGTTGTGGGACCCTGAGCGGCGGCGGCGGCGGATGAAGAAGAAGATGATGAAGATGTTGTTGCCGTTGTTGAAGATACTATGGGTGCTGATGCATTAAAGTTAAACATTGGAGGTGAGTCTTCTGATGCTGAAGGAGACGAGAGTTGGTGTGGCCCATCACATGGTGACGACAATACCGAGGACCCGAGCTTGGCCGCTAGCAAGCCGCTGTTTCGTGAATTAGAGGTATTGTTATTACTACTGGTAGATGCAGATATCGAAGGAGAGGAGTTGGAAGCCGCAGCGGTTCTACGGGATCTTCGGGAGGTTGAAGAAGAGGGTGACGAAGATGAATTACTAAGATTTAACGGCCCATTGCTATTACTGTGATTAATATTTCCTGCGCCACCGCCACCGCCACCACCACTAGTAGTTACAAGACCGACTAATGAAGCCGATGAACCTCCTGAAGATTTTAGAATGGGTGAAGTGGGAGTCAAAGCAAGGGCCTCTGCATTTCTACTAAGAGACCTTGAGGAGTGCTTAGTATTGACTGTAAGGTGATGGTGATGGTGCGAGGCTGAAGGTCCTGAAGAGTGATGTTTAGGGAGAGAAGAACTTTTGCGAACACCGCCAAAGCCCGCAGCAGAAGAGGACCCGCTGGCACCCGGAGACCCACCGGTTGAGGCAGCTAGGGCAGCTTTAGAAAGAGCAGAGCGTGGAGGCGAAGATGAAATCATGGAAGATTGAGAGGCCATAGGAATTGAGATTGGCTGGGACTGAGATTGCTGCGAGCAACAAAAGCTGGAAGATTGGGAGGAAGATGGTGTTGATGTTGAAGATTGGGTACTTGTTGTAGAGGAGCTTCCTACGGCATTGACTGCAGCAGCAGCAGCAGCAGCTGTGAGATGTATTTTGGATGCAGAGGCTGATCGTCTTGAAGATGATTTGTTTTTGGAACATGTGCAGAGGTCCTTATCGATATGACAGGGACATGAGGAAGCATGTTTTCCTGCAGCTCCTCCTGAGCACTTACAGCGGGCATGAAGAGACTTATTTTTGCGGGCCTCGCGGCAGTGGGCGCATTGTGTGGCAGGACGACCTTTTGGTTTGATCATTGTGAGTGGCATATTTGTATGATTACAGCCTGTGACTCTGTGACCACGAATACATCGCTTGAGGATAGTTAGTATTTGAGTAACAAGGTGAAAGGAAAGAAGGAAAGAAAACTTACTTCACAGGCATATTTGACACCGTCAATATAGACCATTTTATATAAGGAAAAAGAAGAAGAAGAAGAAGAAGAGGGAGAAAAAAAAAGGACGAATGGGAGGTATTAGAAGGATATAGAGTGAGGTCTTAAGGAATTAGGATATGTGATGAAAGTTATTGTATATTGAAGACCGAAATGTAGAAATAACTATAGAATTGGTGTGGTATTTATAAGGCAAATAAATGGTCGATTGGCAATGAAAGTGTGTGTGTGTGTGTTTAATGTTTTAAAGATGATTAGAAGAAGAAGAAGAAGAAGAAGAAAGAGATATTGTTAAAATGTATATATTAGAATAGTAGAAAAATTGAATAGCAAGAGAAATAAATAAGAATTGGGAATTTTTTTAAAAAAAAATTTAGAAAAAAGAAAGTAAAAAAAAAAAAAAAAAAAAAAAGGAAATCCGAGGGAAGTTCAAATATATTTATAACCCGCCGCCGGGTCAAGACATAAATAAATGTGGGTTATGGCATATAATAAGTCCCGGTTATCAAGGCACAAACCAACAACAAACAACAAACAATTACAGAACGGCCTCTCAAAAAAAAAAAAAAAAAAATTAACCAGAAAGAATTTTTTGCTTAGTATATTAAAAAAATATATATATATATATTTAAAATAATAACAATTCTTTATTAATTCACTTCCTACTATCAATTTTTTTTTATCCCTATTAAAGATAACCATAACCATAATCATAATCATCATCATAATTATGAACAACGAATATTGTTAATAAAAAAAATAAAAAAAAAAAGAAGCACCGGGGTAACCCCGGGTCCATAAAGTTTAGTGTACTGTTGTTGAGTGTATGTTAAAGATATGTATATATATATATATATATATATATATATATAAGTCCCATATACTGGACATAATTAGTTGGGTCCTGCATCGAGTTAAAACTATGTTGCGGAGCCTTTGAGCGGGTTTGGAAGAGCAGAGCCATTGGCTGGGTTAACGCAGCCGTCAGTCGGGGGTTCCGCACGGGGACTCCGACACCCGGCTTGTTTTGTATGTGTATATATATATGTTTGGGAGTGTATTGTTTGCTACTGTGCCGTTAACTATAAAAGTCTGGTAACAAAAAAAAAAAAAAAAAAAAAAACACGTTCAAGTTACCTTGGAGTAACCTTTAATTTTTAATAAAATAAAAATAATAATAATAAAATAATAAATAAAAAAAAAAAAAAAGAAAAAAAAGAAAATGCCAGTTTATAACAGTAATAATTGTCATTTAATGATTAGAAATAATTTTGGTCCACTAAATATATGCACAGCCAACTCGCTCTGTGAATGGCCCAAAAAGCCGGTTTATTCTTTTCTTTTCTTTTCTTTTTTTATTTATTTATTTTATTATTTATTTTATTATTATTTTATTATTATTTTATTTTTATTTTATTATTATTTTTTTCCTTCTATTTGTGGGACAACAAAAGTGGAAGAACCGGACCGTTATAGCCAGACAATGCATCCAAAGACTCAAGTCTTAATCTTTAAGTCTTTTCTTCTAGAACTATCTCTCTCTTCAATCTAGTCAAATGAAACAACCGCCCATCTTGCGTACTTTTCAGACTGCCCTAATAATTTCTTAATTTAATTTAATTTAATTTAATTTAATTTAATTTATTTTTTATTTTTCCTCTACCGGCCGCGGGCCGTCCGGCTGTGCAACCGAGGGTTCAAACCGCGCTCTTTGAACCTGAACTGAACAGAACCTGAACAGAAAGGGAGGGGAAGAAAGAAAGAAAGAAAGTCTGTCAGTCACAAGAAATCCTCTGGTTTGCTATATCGAACAAATTAAAGGGGAACATTTCTCTTTCCCCCCAAAAAAAAAGCTATGCTTTATATATTATATTTAATATATATATATACCATATATACAACATACAACAACATATACTCGAGAAGGGAACCGGAAATATGGCCGAGTTTCAATTAGAAAGAATAAAAAAAAAAACAATATTTGCGGGCAATAACAAATCTACCTAGCTGTTAAAAATGGATTCAGGGTCAACATTAACCAGTCATAGAAGCCCTTCTTTATTGAGGCATATATAAAATAAAAAACTACTGGGCAATGAATGAATGACCTTTTAAAAAGTGTAATCAAAAAAAGAATAATGTCCATAGTATATAGGTATTTGTAAATAAATAGGTCTTCTATCTAGTTTTTTTATTTTTCATTGTATGAACCAAAAAAAAAAAAAAAAAATATAACCCTGATCCTTTCTTCTTCTTCTTTTTCTTCTTCTTTTCCTATTCTTCTATTTTAACCAATTTCCAATCTTTCCCCAGACAAACCTCTCAGGTACACAAAAAAAACCTTCTCATTTCTTTTCTTACTTTTTTTTTTTTTTTTCTTCTTCTTCTTTTCCAATTTTCAAATAACCCTTTTGATTATTTATTTGTTTATTTTTGTTAGTTTCTTACTCCTATAATCAAGGTTTAAAATTTTCTCTTTTATTCTAATTTTTTTTCTACTCATTCAGCCGCTGCAAGAAACTATACAATCAATTTAGCCCTTTCTTTTATCATTTAACTAATATAACTTTACAGTTATAACTTCTTTTTTCTTGTTCTTGTTCTTGTTCTTCTTCTTACAGGTTAATAACTTGTTCTTGTCGATCATCTTTCTTTCATTTTTTTTTAAAATCTATTTTAATAGCCTTTCACAGTGGTTTCACCCACCTTACCTTTTCATTCCATATTTTTTTCTTCCCTGAATTAACTTTCGATTGCTTCTCTTTTTTTTTTTTTTTTTTTTTTCCATCATCTTCCTTCACTTAATTATAAACTCATCTATTCTCTTAATCAACAATATTCCTTGTATCTATTTTTTTTTGCTCCTCAATCTCTTAAGTATAGCGCTTAAACTATCATGTCAATCATTCCTTTCAAAATGGCGCACTTAAACTATCTATATTTTACTTTATTATTTTTTTTTATTATTATTCCCTAATAATAATAGCTCTTAAATCTATATCTATTGTTGATCTTTTTCATTATTATTCCTGAAATCTCTCTTTATTTTTTTGTTTTTTTTTTATCAAAAGGGTTTTTACATAATTTTATTTCATTCTTACAAACTTTTAATGCATGTGATAAAGTTTTCGTTTCACTGACCGCCACTTAACTATAAGGCTTTTTAGACTTGACTTGGGTTGTTACTAGCAATATCTGCAATAGGGATAAATAAGGCCTAGAAGAAAAAAAAAAAAACAAAAGTTAACAAGGTGTCTTAGTAAAATCAAACAATTTACTAAACTTTTATAGATTGAAGGTTTTCATAAAGTAAATAATTTCTTTTAAGTAATAAAAACGAGTCTGAAATGCCAATCAACTACATTGATTTTTTTAATAGGATATAATATACAATTGTTCACACACACACACACACACCCCGCACAGTTAAAAACATTTATGAAGCTTTTAAAATAGTTTGCTCAATCAAATAGTGTCTACAAAAAAGGAAAGTAAAAAAAAAAAGTGATTGCACATCAAAAATGCAAAAAAAAAAAAAAACAAAAGGGCCTCTCACATAATCTGTTATATATAGTTGTAGTGTAAATTTGAAATATGAATAAAGTAAAAACACTTAAAGAAAAAACAAAAGGGAAAAAGAAAAAAAAAAAAACCAAGAAGTTATCTTTATGTTTATTTAAATTTTTTTTTAAATATTTCTTACACTGGATATGGAATGCCTATTTAGGAAACCATTCTGACGAGAAACGAAAAATAAAGGGTCGTTTTTGTTTTTTTTTTATGGAAACAACTGTAAATCAAAATTTTGCCTTTTTTTTTCTTTAAAAAAAAGAAAGAAAAGATACAAATTAAATAAAAAGAATAAGTTTTATATTTAATAAAAAAGAAAAAAAAAAGAAATATTTCAAATCTTTTTAATTTTTAAAAAATTTTTAATGTGCAGATTGTATATAAACAGAATATTGAAAAAAAAAATTTTTTTTTGTCAATATCTAACATTTTTTTTTTTTTTTTGCGAAAATCAAAAAAAAAAAAATATTATGGAAAGGCTGAGATTTGTCACAAAAAAAAAAAAAAAAAGAGTGATTTTTTTTTTCAGTATGAGCCATATGCACCAAAGAATATAACTAAAAGAGACTTATGACCAAGACTTATCCGAACACACAGCCTCCCAAGTCATAAAACGGAAACCCTGGGAAACTTTTCGGGGGACCCCAAAATCATATTTGTCAACATACATACTAAAACCCGCTCTCAGACTTTATGTTTATGTTTATTTTAATTTTTTTTAATTTTGATTTTAAAATAAAAATAAAAAATAAAAAAAAAAAGTTGCTATGATTTGAATATTTTTCAAAAGAAAAAAAAAAAAAATTCACACTAAAAGCAAAGCAATTCAAATGACTCTTTTATACTACCAACGCACAATTTTCAAAATAAAAGATTAATAAATAAATTAATAGATAAATAAATTAATGAATAAAATTAATTCATACTTCTATTGATCCCAACTTTCTCATATATATATATTTTTATTGAAAAAAAAACAGCAAGATAGAAAAATAAATACTAATGTAATTACATCTATGTTTTACCAATCTTCTTCTTCCCTTCCCAATTCCAAGCAATGTTCACTTGTTAATAGTAAATATCTCCAACAACGCACAATCATTACAGTACCTCTTTTTTTTTTTTTTTTTTTTTTTTTTTTTGCTATGGCCTTTTATATTTTATTTTATTTTTAAATTCATATTTTTGTTCCAATTTCCGGTAAAAGTACTACTCAAAAATACCTTCATTTCTCAAACTTCTTAAAGAAGGCCCAAACTAAATCTTCCCCTCTAATCATTCTTGGGTTTTGTT